AGGAAGGAAGGAAGGAAGGAAGGAAGGAAGGAAGGAAGGAAGGAAGGAAGGAAGGAAGGATTCGAGGAAGAAAGGATTTCAGGAAGGAAAGAAGGATTCCAGTAATGAAGGAAGGATTCCAGTAATGAAGGAAGGATTCCAGGAAGAAAGGCTTCCAGGAAGGTAGGATTCCAGGTAGGAAGGATTCCAGGAAGGAAGGATTCCAGGAAGGAGGGATTCCAGGAAGGATTCCAGGAAGAAAGGAAGGATTCCAGGAAGGAAGGAAGGAAGGATTCCAGTAATGAAGGAAGGATTCCAGGAAGAAATGAAGAAATATTGAAATAAGTCAAAAAACTAGTAAAGGGAGATAAACAGAGATAAGCAATTAAAGAGGGGTTGAAGAAGAAATATATTTGGAGAAAATATAGGGTTTGCTATAGGAAAATGTAGGCAACAAAGAGGACAAAGTTAAAAGATTTTTTTAAGAGGTGAAGGAAACAAGATTCAGATAATACACTGTGGATGTAGTCATGCTAAGCATACAGAGCATGGTGATGAATGTTTACATAGCAGAGGAAAATGTCCAGTATAGACTTATACAGTATCCTGTTTGTAAAAAGTGATCTTGAGCAATTGCAGCCAGGGATTCTTAGAAAGAGAATAATAAGTTTATTTTGAACAAAATAAATGTCTAATTCAAAATTATTATGCAATAAATACAAATTGCATCAATGTATAAAAAATGAAGAAGTCATCCAGGATTATAACAACGTGTTCTTTTTGCCTGTTTTGCAGCTCTCCCCCTTTTCCTCCAATTCTTATTCCAAAATTAATCATAGGGTCAATCATTTTTTCCCTTAGCAATTGCATCAGCCATATGCATGTGTCACGTGGTAAATGAAAGAGTATGAATAATTCAGAACAAAATTTTGAATCATTTAAAAAGCAGAAACTTCACATTTCATTGCTAACCTATTCCCACATAACAAGATTCAAAAAATAACATTGCAATTTCTGGGACAAAACCATTTCAAGTATTTGAAAATACTCATTTCTGCATGCATTTCATTCTGTCCAAAGAATATTTCAATCCCAGAGTTGTCCAAAACTCTGTTTCCAATTTCATTAAAAAAACACAGAAAATAATTAAATAGTAGGTATTCTGCCCAAGTATGAAATACTATACATATTTCCAGAAATAATTGTGGCTGCATAATGTGATCACCTTTGCCTCCAAGGCTCATGGAAAATGTAACATTTAGTTAAGCAAGCTGACGGTATTAGGGAATTAACATGATCTTCTGCTACCACCATGCAGATATATATGCCACCATCATCGCTTGTTAGTGTGGATTTTTGGCTCCTGTAATAACAGCTCAACTAGAAAACAGCATTTGTCTATGCCTAAGCCAAAGAGCTTAGCAATAAAAACACAAAGCAAAGAGCCAGTGCAATATAGAGATTATTTTTTCTAGTGATAAGAGCATAATGATGGAGTGAGGATTTTTGTAATTTGTTTCCCAGTTTAGTCACTGATTCAATGTGACTTTTCAAGAGAGACTTAATGCTCTCCTCACCGTAGGTGCTTGCCTCATTTTCCTTATCATTGAAACAATAGCAAGACTGAACCACTTCACATCTGAGGTTGTGAGGGACCAAAGGACGCTGACACCGTCCAGCAAGAAATTGCTACAGAGAAGACAAATGTGATACTGATCAGCTCCCATGCATTGTGATTAATGAGTCTTAAGGCAGTGAAGCCAGCTGGTTATCGTGGCATTCATATGCATTTGCATTGCTCTGACCACAGTATTAGGACCCGCATTCCACAGGGGTTGTCAGGGCTGTGCCCTCCAGGGATGGTTGGGGTTATCCTACCATTCAGTTCCTGCCCTGTTGATCTCTTCCCACCAGCACTCTGTCGGCTCACCGAGGCTCTGGGATGCTGGCATGCAGGCATAGTTCCACAGTCTGTCAGAGCCTTCCTTCTTGCTGAAGACACTTCTGACGGCCACGATCACCTGCCCGTGTGGGCACTGAAAGTTGAAACCTTGCCGGTACACATTGACCCATTCATCATTATCTCCATAATTATAGGGACCATAGTAATAGTCACTGTACTGGCCCCATGCCACAGTCACCGGAGGTAGGAACACACAGAGAAGGAAAATGTCCATCCTGAAGATGTTCCTGGCTTAGAAGTGCCCCTCTGGTTTGTTGGACTGGCCCTTTTATATTGCCTCTAACATTTGGCTTCCAGATGTTATGTTTTCAGATCCAAGTGCAGTGTGTCATTGCTTAGCAAACCTTCTCTGAGTTACAGAGACGTCCAATTACTTTTAAGGTGGAATTCTGCAAGTACAAATGCAGTCCCTAAGAGCAGGGTCTTCCCACCACCGCAAACCATCTGTAATCCTTTACTGCAGAGCTACTGTACACAGCAAGCTACATGTCATAGTATAACTGCCACAGACATCCCACTTTCATCCTCAAGACAGTGTTTAAGTTTGAAAATTACTTTGTTTGAAATTAAAGCTCTATTTGAAGTTGCCATTTTCCATCATTAGTAACATGCAAGCAAATGCGATCCTCTGTGTGTATCATCATCCTTTTTTCCCTAAATGTGTGTGTCATGATTCTGCCCATGCCTAGAAAGAAGGGAATTGGGCAAGGTGAGGGAATTCACTGCTCCTGGTGAAAAAATTCCTTTAGAAATTTTGGGTTGGCTTGGTTGGAGAGAAGGTGGAGCCCAAATGACTGAGACTCTGTCTTGGCATGGAAACAGCCCACCCTGAGAAGTAGGGCATTGGCTTCCTCCAAGCAGAGCTGATTTTGCTATGACTGTGTGCTAGCTCTGTGAAACTGTGGACCAGGCAGATGTTTTAATTTGAAGATAAAGCACATAGGCAAGTTACAATGAGAAAAGCTTCGTGCATGATCAGAGCCTGCTGAAATCTTTGAGCAAGGGCCTTGAAGTTTCCTTGATTTTATAGTGGGCTAGGAACACAAGGCTGCTGCTGAGGAACTCAAAACCCGACTTGCCACTTAGAAAGTGTTTATATGCAACATCCTTAGGCAATTTCTTTATCAAGAGCCCACTCTTTTCAGGAAAGTCTGGAATGGTGTGCTTTACTTAACTGTGTACTTGACCCATAGAAAACTCTGTGACTTGAGCATGTTTTGTAAGTAAGACAGTCCAAAGTCAATCTAACATAATCTATATATGCCTGTGTTGCCTCTGCTGTGCTACTAATAAAATGTGTGACCCCTGGATCAGCTTCAGATTCGGATTCTGTCTCTTTCAGTGAAATCCAGAGACTGTTTCTTGCTGCAAGCTTCTTCTGAAATCTTTTTACTGTGTCTCTTCCACATTTGGAACACACACAGAAGAAAGGGAAGAAAAAAAAAGAAAAAAGTTTATGAGCTTTTATTCTGTTGTTGGTACTGACAAAAAGACGTGTGCTGGTAATTGGACTTTGTCCTCTCTAGGGATCTCCAAACCCATCCTGCATGGTCATTTTTTTGCAGGAGCATAGGCACCCCAGGAGGCAGGTGCATTTACTAACAAACCTCAGAACTCAAAACTGCCTCCAGCCTCATCAGCCAGATGCTTTTGTGCCTTTAGCTAATAGCTTTTCTTGTAGCAGAGCCTTGTTCAACAAAACTGTAGGTGGTGGTTGGCTCTTTTCCAGAACAATGCAGCAACTTCTCAGTTGTCTGTGCTCACAGCCAGTGCGGATCCACATGCACCAGGCAGGTGAGAGTTGCTGGTGTGGCTCAGTGCCTCACCTCCAGCTGCAGCAGCCCCAGATGCCTAGGGAAGGGCACTGTGGAGACAGCAGAGAAGAGCTCATTCCTTGGAGCTGCCCTCTTTTAGATCCCAGGTAACAGTGGGGGACACGGGTACCCAATGTCTAAGGAGAGTGGAAATTTAAGATTAAAAACCCTTTTAGTTATCTGATCAGCACCCAGAGTGCATGAGCTGTACAATCTCACACAAGTTTTTCAGCTAACTCAAGTGCATATTTTTTTTCCCCTCTTACTTCCTTAAACACACAGTCACATCAGGGAGTACTGCACACTGCTGTATATGCCTAAGAGGCATTCTGGAAGAAGTTTTAGCAGGGTGAACCACATTATCATGTACATATGATCCTCACCTCACATAACCCTGTGTAAGCACCATTCCTTATTCTTACATAACCCACAATATTACAGGCAAGAGGGAAGCAGAAGATGGAAAGAAGGCTCTATGGAGAGTAGACAGTCTTTTGCCTACCTTTGGCATGCATGTGAAGCTTTGAGGTGTCTGTTTTCACTTCTTACATACAGTCTACTCTGCCTGATCCCAGTTAGTGGATAGAGTGACACTTCCACGCTGCACTGTGACCAAGAAGTGGCTTGGCTGCAGGGAAGATAGTGAGCAGATGTGGAACAACTCCCTGTAGCAACTTTGGCAGTTTAGACATGTCCTGGCCGGCCTTATTCTGTTCTGGCCACTGAATCAAGCATAGCAGTTCAAAAGCCAGTGGCTTTTGAAGAGCTGCAAACTAATTGGCAGCTTGGTGCCTTTGGTTGTCTTCTGCTACAGTTTGCACTGCAAGAAAACCCTGATATTTAAAAATCAGTCCCTCTCTGAAATTACTTACCCATTAATTTGACTTTAAAAACATCAGCTGCATGCCTTGCATATCCAATCTTTGGAAAAGCAGAAAGTGTCAATGAAGTAGTAAATATGAGGTGCTAAGATCAATCTTTTATTACCAATTCCTTGTTGTGGAATCTATATTGTATGGTAATTATCTTCCTCATCAGCACTTAGAAATGTTGCATTTAATCCACACAAAAAATTTAATTTCTGTCCTGTCCAGTGTTGACAGATAAAAGTGGTTATTCTTGATACCCTGCCTCCCTGGTCTAACTTTGGAGTTAGCTCAACTTTTAACACAGTTTGGACTAAAGAGGAATGTTCTTTCCAGTTTGAATTATTCGGTGTTTCTCTCCTGCTGAAGGTAGCAGATGCACAATTACTTAGTCATGCAGGTGTTTTTAGTGCTTTGGAGCCATTAGAAAAAATGCTGCAGTCTTTTCTTGCCATGCCATCATACAGGCATGAAATGCAGAAAGATTTCAGTGCTTTGAACTAAAATCACAGACGCAAAGTATGATCTGAATGAATAACAGTAGCCAGCCCAAACTCTATACTAAAATAGGAGAAAGAATAGTAAAACTTTATTTATTATTTGGCAAAAAAAAAATATCCTAGAGCTGCAGTGAGAAAAGTCAGGGTTCAGACTTGGTCAGTGACAGGTACAACTAGATCTGTGTCTACAAAACTAAGTTGCATGGAAGTGGTGGCATGTGGTTTTATTAGAGTATCTGTGCTGTTTGAATTTCTGTGTCTGCAAAGGATTGGCTCATGGGCAGCCAGTTTTACCCCACTTTGAGGGCAGAAGGAGTATATGAGGGTATTATCTCACAGCACTTCACCATGTAGATGCATAGAAGAGATTCCTTCTCATATTACTCAGGACTATGGCCAGAAGTTAAGCTTTACATTTTGGGTTGGAGAAGGAGACTGAGTGTGTAATACTGAGCCCTGAAATCCTCTGTACACAAAACAGGTGGAAGGAAAGAAGAAGAAGAAGAAGAAGAAGAAGAAGAAGAAGAAGAAGAAGAAGAAGAAGAAGAAGAAGAAGAAGAAGAAGAAGAAGAAGCAGTACCAGTTGCAGTAGCAATATATGTCTGCTTCCAAGCTAATGAACTGCATCGTGGCATTTCACTGTGAGAAGAAAGTGTTTTTCATGACCGCTCGTATCATCACTGAGGTCACACACTGGGAATATATTTTCCATATTTTATTGCATACTGTCTCAGTGTGATGCTGGCAGTTCTGATAAAGCTGAGTGGCTTGGATGAGTCAGGGAGGCTGCATGATCTGGGAGCTGTAAATTGAATTCAATTACAGATTACTTTTCCTGTCATCTTTGCAGCATGGCTTTTACATGTATATATATGTTCAAAACATAATCAAGGCACCCCAAATCCTCGAGCTTATAAATGCAGGAAATTTTTATGTATATATATGTAAGTTTCCTGCATTATCAGTTATCATAAAAGTTTGGAGTGCTTTTATTACGTTTTTGAAATAAGATTACAGAGACCTTGGTATTGTGGAGGACAAAGCCACTGAAAGACTGCTTTATAAGAGGTAAAGATACACCCTAGTCAGCTTTTTAGCTCAGAGATATTATCTTCTTTCAGAATAATGCATATGGTGAAGGCTGGAGTTCATTTGTCACATTTTCCTGCTATTAATGATGTTTTGTGCAGCTCCATTCACTTGATATTCTCAAAGTCTTTTGATTAAGCCTTTTGAACCACCTTTTTGAAAAACAGGAAAGGATGAAACCCTTTCCACAGTGGTTCCAGTGATCTGCCCAATGTCCACCAGTACCTCAGGGCTAGAGAGAGATTTTAGACTTCAGCATCTAGACTGGAGTTTAAAATCCTACTCCAGTCGTGGGAAAGCACACATTTTCCCAGTCTTTTCTTCCTACTACTTCCCTGCAGAGATGCTGGTTCGGCTTCTGCTTTGGGTAGCTCTTGTCATGTAAAAGGGAAGCTACTACTTCAGATACTGTGATACTGGAGGATACTGCAGAGCTCTTTTCTCCTTGGAAGGAGCAGTAGAAAATTCTGATATGATACCACCTGGAATATTGCTGTGGAGGAAAAAAAGCACTCTCTGCAGTGCTATTCTTCCGAGTTAACATAACCTTTTAAATTGCTTTTGTAATAGCTTCCGTCCTTCATGTGTAGTATTAAATTACAGATTAAGTAATAGAAGCAAACTGGAAAAGCAAAACTTAAGTCACAAAATCTCTGAGGAAAGGGTAAGAAAGCTGCACTGAAACATCAGTAAAGAAACAAGAGAAACACATTTTCTTAGTTTGCAAAACCATTTAGATGCCATAACTCTTTTTCCTTCTGTGAGTCTAAGATCTATTATTTTGAAAACTCAATTTTCAAATAATCAGCAAACAACTGCTTCATAGATTAATCATTATTGCTGGATCAGATAACCCCCAAAAACTGCTCAAAAGCAACAGTCACAAACTTTTGTGACAAACCTTACCCATCTCACATAAAGCTTTGAGTAGGGAAAAGCTGGATACTGGAAAAGA